GCTGGAGGACCAGCAGCCTTGAAAATGCCATGTGGCTCTGCATTGAAGGCATCATGCTTGGCATGGCGAACTGGAGGAACAGCAATGGCGTGCCCATGGATGCCCAAAGGATGGAGCTGGCAATGTGGTTCATGCACAAGGTCTTTAATGACATGGCCATCTATTACATCATATCACCCACACTGGCCATTTTGTGAAAAGGTGGTTTCCAGGAATGACAAACTGGCTCAAGAACTCATGTGATTGCAATGCTCTTGATTCATGGCATGAATCAAGAGTGGATCCCATGGAATTCCAGATGCTTCCCATTCCTCAAAAAGCAGAGCGTAATACTTGTCCAAATATACCATGTGGTTGTGCTCTTGTTGAAGTATCTGGGTGGTTGGACAATACTTACACTGTGACATGCTGTACTGGGAGAGGCGTCTACTAAAGGCCATGAACATTGGATGATCTTCCACCATGCTTGTGTCAATCACAACATTGCAGGTGTGCAGTTGGGTGCTGGGCATAAATGGCATGCATATGATGTCACATGTGATTTTTAAATGATTGAGGCATTCTGTTCAATACAGGCAGCTTATTGATGTCATCAAGGTTGTGCAGATTGGACCATGTGACATAGAATGTTGCAGTCCACAGGTTGAATATCCACCTGTTGGCTTCATTGTGCCTCTTGAAAATCTTGTGGCGGTAGTGCGCTGCTTGAATCATGATGCCCTTGCTGCACTCTGAGAGTTTTTGAACTGGTGCACCAAACTGGAATCCAAATGAGCAATGAGGTCTTCAGGGATATCTCACAACACTGCTGCTCTCACTTAAAGGAGGCCTTGGATTTCAAGAGTCCACAATTTTCCACAAAGACTGGTGAAAAGCACCACAGTTTGTTGCCATTGCTGTTGGGGAGTTCTGCCAAGTGCATCTGTTCATAGGTCAGGCTGTTCATGGTTTTGAGTGGGTTGATGCCAGAGATTGCCATTGTCTGTGGTGGCTGCATGTTGCCTGCTCTGTTGATTTTTTGGACGATCTGCCCAATTTTGGCAGGTACATGTGTCTGTATGGTGATTTGATGTTGAGTGAGATGCCTCCTCCTTGCTCAGTCTTGATGCTGTGAATGGGCAGCACTCAGGTGGTCCACATCAGCTCAGAGTTCCAAAAGTGTACAACATCTTTCCACCTTCATTGTCTCCCATGGGAACTTGGACACACTTGTCCAACAGTCCATCATTACCAGTCTTGCCCCTTTGGTTCACCTTGCACTATGAAGTTCATGACCACCTTGGTTGTGCCACCACAGTGGGATTGTTGCACCACCTGTCTTTGCATGGTGGAGTGTGAACCACTTTCTTCCATACCATTTTTCCAGAGCAGTGTAATAGATGGTGGCCATGAGTGCAAGGTCTTGAGATGAATGTGTTGTGTAATTGTTTGGTCAACTTCTCCACAAAATCATTATCACTCAGAACTGGTGTAAGATTTCTGCTCATGTATGTAGGTCTGAATCAGCATTGTTTGTGCATGTGCTGCAAAAGCAATGCCACAATGACAACCTTTACATGGTGGCTCACTGAGTGGATGATGGGACATTGTTTAGATTGAAGAGTTAAAAGTCTAAAGTCCTGAAAGGACTTGCCAACACTGCTCTGTATTCCCAGAAGCAGTTCAGTTCCACCCAACTAACAACAAAACACCTACTCTCACCCAAGCATGACACTATCTTCTTCACTGTCTCTGAGGCGCTGGCTGTACATGAAATGGGACAAGCTTGCCTTCATTCCCCATGACTCGTTAT